ATGCATTTGTTCCTTGTTGTCCAACCATACCAGAAAGATCTAGTGGATAGTGGTGTAATAAAAAGCACTCACTGTCATAGTGCAAATTGCTACGCTATAAGGTACTTAGGGCGAAACCATCCTACTGGCTAGACGAGTGCAACATCAGTGTTTCTTGCGGATGAAACAGTCGACAATGATTCACCTATCCTCTAATAGAAGTAGAAAAACCGGACCTTCAAAATAACACGTGTCCCTCTCCTGCGGTATTCCAGTACCGGTGGTATGTTTTTAGTTGTATTCAAAACATACCCACATCTCAAACCTGAACGATCGTATGTGACTGACCTCAAACAGATGGTCTTTGGCTCTGTATTCTCGTGAAATTAATCCCTTTGCTCTTTCAGGTACATTGCAGAGACAACTTACATGCCCTACATGGCCAGGAACCACCTGCACAATTCTGATAGCATACAAAACCCAATGAAACAAAAATCACCTTTTTGCCTTTACTTTCTGATACCAACATTAGACCTCTTATAGTTTCGTCAACCTCCCGTAATGCGATCACCGCTAACGATCCAGGGAAGTAGTTCAATTCTCAGTTTCCTAAAACTGGAACACGACAGGCATCACCTGCTAAAGCTTTGAAATCTGGAGCCACAGATGTGTGCTGTGTTTCTGAGACAGATACACATAACTCAAATGTGGTTAACCACGACCTCACAAAGTCAGTGTGGTAAATCTGCAAAATGCACTTAGCGAGCGTCCGGAGATCCAGTGACTAGCTGTCGTGAAATTGCACGTGTATTTATTACGTTACGTTGTCGAGCGAAAATCTCACTTCTTGACTAGATACTAGTCGACAACCGATCGTGCGCTGTCCGACTGAATGCATGTCTCGATAATACTATGATACTGGTCAGTACCTATTTGTATTCGCTACCTGTGCACACCGACTTCAGTCCTGACGAAACAAAGGATGAGTTCAACCAAGAGCTGTGAATTTTGCTGCTCAAGGTAAAACGTCCAGATATAGTCACAGTAGCAGCAATCTTCCACACCAAACTAGGAAAGCCAAGAGGATCAGAAAAGCATCTTGAAAGTACCTGCTGCAACCCATACCGAAAAACCGGCAACGGTGATTGCCTCTTATAAGTGTGTTCTGACAATCACTTGCTAGCACAAATTTCAAACAGCAGAAAGACAGACAGTGTCTCACATGGCGTTCGCCGACATCAAACCAACAGTGAATACCCGTAGACCATATTATGAGTCTTTGTTAAGGATTGCAACTCTTTATGGAGCACTGGCTTGAACTCTGACTACGCTTTAGCACGTATTCGTACAGCTCAGTGGACACAGGTAACACAACAGTAAGGCCTCTGTGGGCTTGACTAGAAGATAAGAATTTCAATTGTATATTTAAGGAAATGGCTAATCATTTATCCGAAGACGTCAGTGATTCTCTGTTTGACGATAACTAACGTAATATTCAGTTTTTCCGAAACAGCGGGAGACAGTAAGCCACATCAAAACGTCAATGGATTTCCATAACCTTATCCGGACGCTGGATGCCTTCTGATTTAACAAAGATTGACCTACGACGTGGGCATCTGGTTAGTTTGGATTACTCAAACAACACCATCACGTCAGTCGCTGATGCTGACAAAATATAGCCTACTGAACACCTTGGGCAGAATTTTGAGTATAATTGGCATACGTTCCGCACATGTCATGTGTAATATTGTGCTTCAAGTTGGTCTGCAGTTACTCATACTTTGAGGATATGTGGTGGAGTGTTGAGAATGTGCTGACCACTTAACATGCTTGGTTAGACCACTGATGAAACTTCAACTGAGATATGAAAAGCCCGTGTGGTTCTTGTCCTCGACCGATAGTTGCTACCGTAATGTAGTAATTGGGCTTCTATACAAGAATATTCCGAGCTATGTTGGTGGGACGCTTGTTTCCTCATGGTTTTGGCATGCCAAAATGGTCTGTTGGATAGTGGTAAAACGAATAGCCGTCACCGTCGTAGTACAAATTGCTACACTTTATTGGGATCTGAGGGCGAAGTCGTGCTGCTGGCTGGACGGGAATGTGAAAGCAGTAGGGTGTTTCTCTCCTATGACCAGCAGTACCATGAAGATGTTGTCTTCCTCGTTGAGACGGGGGTTAGAAAACGTCGGCCCAAAAAATAGCACACTTCTTCCTGCCTACGGTCTTCTGCACCGGCGAATCGGGTTCATAGTCGAATTCAAAACTAACAAAAAATCTCAAACCTCCAAACCACTATGTGACCGGTCTCAAAAAGATGTCCACTGATGTCTGCGGTCATGCAACAACCCTTCTTTTTCATGTTTATCAAGAAGGAATATCCTTCCATGGTGTGGTCAGCCGAGAAGTGTCAACCGCTGTCACAATTCTGTCAGCACTCAAGTTCCCTTAGATCACTGTCCACCTTCCACATCCTCACCTATTCTTCCTTTACATCTCTCCGTCAATAATCCTACATCAATTTCTTTCAGCTCTAAAGCTCCCGACAACAACCTGAGTTCAAGGAACAGCATACTTGATCTCATGGAAGCGCACTCTAAACTACAAATTTGAGCTTTCAGTGTCTGCACCCTCCGTCAAATAGGCCAGAAAGCTTCACTAACCAAAGTTCTAGCACCTCAAGCCATGTAGGTGTACTTTGTTTATGAGGTACGCATGGTGAATCCTCAAAGTCACACTTTGAGTTTCTGGACATTCACTGGCTAGTCCTCGTGGTCTTCCAGGTGTATGTTTAGCACTGAGCACCAAAGTAGGAAGCTTACCACTCAACTGGATCCCAGTGACAGTCACTTGTGCGCTGTTTGACTGAGTGGCGTACTGAGAACTAAGAACAGTGAAACGCCGTTTTTGTTATCTCTGCTTACGCACTAATTGACTGCAGTTCGGATGAAGTGGAAGATGAGTCCTACCGAAACTGTCTTACTCCCTACTGAAGGCCAGGGTTTCATACGTGGTTGTCGTTGCATTGATCTCAGTACATAAGTGGTTAGGTTAAGTTAGGGAGAAGTGCATTCATTTAGCACCTTTTGAATCCTAACGGAGTGAATGGATAGCAGCAACTGTCTGCTACAACTATGCTCAGACACCCTTTTATTTCTGGCCAGCTAGAGTTTCAGACATAAAGGGATACATTGCCTGATGTGACATCCACCGGATTCGAATTAACAGTAAACAAAGGTAGTCAGAATTGCCATCAGTCTTCGCTAGAGAGGTTTGGTAAATTGCCGATACACCTAGAGTACGTGTTTGGACAGGAAACGCATTGGTTTGAGAACGTTTATGTCTGCATCTAAATGAACGTAAAAAAGCGTTAGCGAAAAGACTATTGGAAGTGAGTGGAGTTGTGGCTCATTGGTTTGGAGAGTTGACTTCTGCTGAACAACTTTGTCCAGAACTATTTCTACTGAATTCCACGCCAGCACGGAAGACGTAGTACCTCATGTCTGTGGGGTCTGGGCAGCAAATTATCGAGGGCGAAGCTCCTGAACTAAACTCTCAGCTATACTCACCGGGAAGATCCCCATACCGTAGAGAAAAACCTGGATCGCCCACCGATGGCACAAGGGGTTACCTAGCTAATATCTAGATGTCTCAAAGGCCTGGCTATTTACTTTATACTAGTGTATTCATAACACAGTACTTACACAACTAAATATCCACTCATAGTATTGTCTGAGAAGCCAACATTTTTGAGTGCAGTTGACATGGAGTTCTCAATCAAGGTATTCCAGATTTAATAAACTTAAGAAGTTAACGTCAGTGTGGTCAGAGATGCTCCGACAAGCTGGTACTGTCCTACTTGGCTTCTCGCAAAGTACTTTGTTTTGGTCTTGATCTAGGATTCATGCTTATATGTGTATCTCTTAACCCAATAATCACTATTGATGGTGAGTGGGCCGATAACAAGAATAGGGTCTTTCGGATGCGGCAGTTGAGGTGGGTAACGCTAGCAATACAATTAACCTTGCTGATGGCAAGCCTATGGGTGGGTGTGGTAAATCTAGTTTTGACGGCTGACAAACCAAGTTGCTAGGATGAGGGATTAGTCAGATTGGCAGAAAATAGACCATAAACGCTTGGTTGAAATCCAAACTCTGAGGAAGAGCCTGGAGGTTTCCGAGATGGGGAAGAACGGAACAATGAAATTAGGTTAATGCATTAAGTGAGACGACGTGCCTGTCCTGCTTCAAGAATGATAAATTGTCTTCAATTCCTTCAGCGAACGTTTCAGTGTAACAGGACCGATGAATAAACAATCGATGACTTATGGCAACCCTTCAGTTTAACGGTTATGTGAAAAAGACTCATCCGATTTGGATTCTTTGACAACTGCAAGTGTTATTAGAGTTGAAGCAGAATAACATACCATGCACCATACCCCTAAAAACCCGGCATCACCTGAATGGTAAATTTTCATAAACAAACTCCATCTGCATTGTGCATCACTACCTAGGTTGGGGGATCTGAAGTTCAAATTTTTTTAGCTCTGGTGTCCCCGAAGCCCAGATGGTCGCCGAAGAATACAGAGGCGAAGAAAGCTTGCGTTACGGACACATTTGGTTTCAAAGCCTCAGCCTAACCAGCTCGTTTAAATGATGAAAGCCAGCATCATTGTTGAGCAGTTTCGGAACTTACACCGTTGTTTTCACAAACGTTTAACCGCCTCATTTCGGCAAAGTGGCATCAATATTTTGTCGGAAGATTACTGACTGGAATCAGTTTCTATCAGAAACATCACTATGCTTCCAGTTGGATCTTGAAAAACGTTCATGTGGATACCTGACTTCAAAAAAATAATGATATGAGTTAATGTTTGTCATTCCGAAGTTAAAAATGTAAAGAGTTCTGTCAAACATATAGGCTATATTATAAACTGAATCGTGAAAATTTCCAAAACTATTAGGCACAACTCAAGGAATTTCAACTTATTTACATGAGGCAGCCTAGTGATACCTACAGTTGAATATGTGACTGAACATGTTGCACGGTGCGCGGGATTCGAATCCGTTAAATGCCTGATCCAGAAGAGGTATATTCGTTTTACCGCCATGGTTATTACCAGCAAGCGTTGCAGGACACAACATGGTTTACTTCAATGTTGATTTTATCTTTTGGTACTTAGTGTTTGGCGAACAACTTAAAGTGCCTAGTCGGTATAGAGGAATTTGCTCATACTAGAGTGAATTCGGAAGCAGCTTCTTAAAGCATCAGTGTAAGGCCAGCAGTGTTAAGGAGGACAAAAGGGGAGACTTAGACAGTGAGAAATTGGAAGCCTTCAGACTTTCTTGAACCATTTAGCCACCTGACTACTTACCTTCACTTTATAAAGTGAAGTTGAGTCATATATGGCTCACCAATTTACTTTACATCCTTTTATTTCATCTTTTTGTCTTCTGTTTTTCATTTTCTGACCCCCATCCGTAAACAGCTTCATGTGAGTATCGTATGGCCAAAAAGAAAAAGAGCAAAAATTTATCTGTAAGGGATTATTTCCGAATGGATTATTTACGTAGCGTGACACCGATTGTGCCGAATCTTCCTTCACAAATAAAAGCTCAGCGTGACACTGCGCAGTAAAATTTTCATCTCCAAGAATATCTGTTGACATACTTATGTTTTGCCTGCTATTTGTGATCTTAGGACTTTCTGAGATGCATTACGTTATTCATTATATTGACTTACCAGCTTTTACCGCCCTAGTGATGGCCCAGATGTGCACCATATAAGTCGCAATGGAAGTTTCTTAGTGCTTGTCATTCTCCACCAAACATCTTGTATTCCCATAATTAAAAGCATCATCTGAAAGTCTGGATGGGTGATTACATATGTATGTCCGCATCCCTTCGTTTCATGCAGAAAAGAATGACTTACAGCCCTTGGGGATAACCTTGTCTCAGAAAGCCAACTGTCTAAATCGTAATGCAAAAGTGCGTCTCACCACCGTCTTTAATGCCGACCGACAGCTACTTTTACGTGGTAGTCGGGCTTGCATGCTTGAATGACCCTAGTTGCGCTGGTGAATGCATTTGTTCCTTGTTGTCCAACCATACCAGAAAGATCTAGTGGATAGTGGTGTAATAAAAAGCACTCACTGTCATAGTGCAAATTGCTACGCTATAAGGTACTTAGGGCGAAACCATCCTACTGGCTAGACGAGTGCAACATCAGTGTTTCTTGCGGATGAAACAGTCGACAATGATTCACCTATCCTCTAATAGAAGTAGAAAAACCGGACCTTCAAAATAACACGTGTCCCTCTCCTGCGGTATTCCAGTACCGGTGGTATGTTTTTAGTTGTATTCAAAACATACCCACATCTCAAACCTGAACGATCGTATGTGACTGACCTCAAACAGATGGTCTTTGGCTCTGTATTCTCGTGAAATTAATCCCTTTGCTCTTTCAGGTACATTGCAGAGACAACTTACATGCCCTACATGGCCAGGAACCACCTGCACAATTCTGATAGCATACAAAACCCAATGAAACAAAAATCACCTTTTTGCCTTTACTTTCTGATACCAACATTAGACCTCTTATAGTTTCGTCAACCTCCCGTAATGCGATCACCGCTAACGATCCAGGGAAGTAGTTCAATTCTCAGTTTCCTAAAACTGGAACACGACAGGCATCACCTGCTAAAGCTTTGAAATCTGGAGCCACAGATGTGTGCTGTGTTTCTGAGACAGATACACATAACTCAAATGTGGTTAACCACGACCTCACAAAGTCAGTGTGGTAAATCTGCAAAATGCACTTAGCGAGCGTCCGGAGATCCAGTGACTAGCTGTCGTGAAATTGCACGTGTATTTATTACGTTACGTTGTCGAGCGAAAATCTCACTTCTTGACTAGATACTAGTCGACAACCGATCGTGCGCTGTCCGACTGAATGCATGTCTCGATAATACTATGATACTGGTCAGTACCTATTTGTATTCGCTACCTGTGCACACCGACTTCAGTCCTGACGAAACAAAGGATGAGTTCAACCAAGAGCTGTGAATTTTGCTGCTCAAGGTAAAACGTCCAGATATAGTCACAGTAGCAGCAATCTTCCACACCAAACTAGGAAAGCCAAGAGGATCAGAAAAGCATCTTGAAAGTACCTGCTGCAACCCATACCGAAAAACCGGCAACGGTGATTGCCTCTTATAAGTGTGTTCTGACAATCACTTGCTAGCACAAATTTCAAACAGCAGAAAGACAGACAGTGTCTCACATGGCGTTCGCCGACATCAAACCAACAGTGAATACCCGTAGACCATATTATGAGTCTTTGTTAAGGATTGCAACTCTTTATGGAGCACTGGCTTGAACTCTGACTACGCTTTAGCACGTATTCGTACAGCTCAGTGGACACAGGTAACACAACAGTAAGGCCTCTGTGGGCTTGACTAGAAGATAAGAATTTCAATTGTATATTTAAGGAAATGGCTAATCATTTATCCGAAGACGTCAGTGATTCTCTGTTTGACGATAACTAACGTAATATTCAGTTTTTCCGAAACAGCGGGAGACAGTAAGCCACATCAAAACGTCAATGGATTTCCATAACCTTATCCGGACGCTGGATGCCTTCTGATTTAACAAAGATTGACCTACGACGTGGGCATCTGGTTAGTTTGGATTACTCAAACAACACCATCACGTCAGTCGCTGATGCTGACAAAATATAGCCTACTGAACACCTTGGGCAGAATTTTGAGTATAATTGGCATACGTTCCGCACATGTCATGTGTAATATTGTGCTTCAAGTTGGTCTGCAGTTACTCATACTTTGAGGATATGTGGTGGAGTGTTGAGAATGTGCTGACCACTTAACATGCTTGGTTAGACCACTGATGAAACTTCAACTGAGATATGAAAAGCCCGTGTGGTTCTTGTCCTCGACCGATAGTTGCTACCGTAATGTAGTAATTGGGCTTCTATACAAGAATATTCCGAGCTATGTTGGTGGGACGCTTGTTTCCTCATGGTTTTGGCATGCCAAAATGGTCTGTTGGATAGTGGTAAAACGAATAGCCGTCACCGTCGTAGTACAAATTGCTACACTTTATTGGGATCTGAGGGCGAAGTCGTGCTGCTGGCTGGACGGGAATGTGAAAGCAGTAGGGTGTTTCTCTCCTATGACCAGCAGTACCATGAAGATGTTGTCTTCCTCGTTGAGACGGGGGTTAGAAAACGTCGGCCCAAAAATAGCACACTTCTTCCTGCCTACGGTCTTCTGCACCGGCGAATCGGGTTCATAGTCGAATTCAAAACTAACAAAAAATCTCAAACCTCCAAACCACTATGTGACCGGTCTCAAAAAGATGTCCACTGATGTCTGCGGTCATGCAACAACCCTTCTTTTTCATGTTTATCAAGAAGGAATATCCTTCCATGGTGTGGTCAGCCGAGAAGTGTCAACCGCTGTCACAATTCTGTCAGCACTCAAGTTCCCTTAGATCACTGTCCACCTTCCACATCCTCACCTATTCTTCCTTTACATCTCTCCGTCAATAATCCTACATCAATTTCTTTCAGCTCTAAAGCTCCCGACAACAACCTGAGTTCAAGGAACAGCATACTTGATCTCATGGAAGCGCACTCTAAACTACAAATTTGAGCTTTCAGTGTCTGCACCCTCCGTCAAATAGGCCAGAAAGCTTCACTAACCAAAGTTCTAGCACCTCAAGCCATGTAGGTGTACTTTGTTTATGAGGTACGCATGGTGAATCCTCAAAGTCACACTTTGAGTTTCTGGACATTCACTGGCTAGTCCTCGTGGTCTTCCAGGTGTATGTTTAGCACTGAGCACCAAAGTAGGAAGCTTACCACTCAACTGGATCCCAGTGACAGTCACTTGTGCGCTGTTTGACTGAGTGGCGTACTGAGAACTAAGAACAGTGAAACGCCGTTTTTGTTATCTCTGCTTACGCACTAATTGACTGCAGTTCGGATGAAGTGGAAGATGAGTCCTACCGAAACTGTCTTACTCCCTACTGAAGGCCAGGGTTTCATACGTGGTTGTCGTTGCATTGATCTCAGTACATAAGTGGTTAGGTTAAGTTAGGGAGAAGTGCATTCATTTAGCACCTTTTGAATCCTAACGGAGTGAATGGATAGCAGCAACTGTCTGCTACAACTATGCTCAGACACCCTTTTATTTCTGGCCAGCTAGAGTTTCAGACATAAAGGGATACATTGCCTGATGTGACATCCACCGGATTCGAATTAACAGTAAACAAAGGTAGTCAGAATTGCCATCAGTCTTCGCTAGAGAGGTTTGGTAGATTGCCGATACACCTAGAGTACGTGTTTGGACAGGAAACGCATTGGTTTGAGAACGTTTATGTCTGCATCTAAATGAACGTAAAAAAAGCGTTAGCGAAAAGACTATTGGAAGTGAGTGGAGTTGTGGCTCATTGGTTTGGAGAGTTGACTTTCAATCAATGGGTCAGGCTTTCGAAGACCGCTCCACCTACCTAGGTTCGGGCAGCTAGGCAGTACCGTTACCCCTCACACACTGTGGCTCATTGCCTACTGCATGAATGTTCACCAGGTAGGTAGTGGATTTCGGTTCCATTTCATTGAGACTGCTGGTCACCACTTTCAGTGCGAAACCGGCTAGACAGTTATTAGAACAACAACAGCACCCTTCCGGATGAGCTTGGTGCTATTTCCAATCTGCTTTAAAAACAGCGTTGAAGTCGGTAACCGAATCTCAGAGAGTGGTTAAAAAAGTGAATGGATCTCAGTAGCTTCTGAATTAATGGATGCAAGTGAAAGCATATTTACAGGCTCCGAGTACAACGAGAAGCAGAAGCAACTTAAAAGTAAACTGACAAAATGTCTACGCAATCGGTGTGAATAGTGGTTGGCAGAGAAGGTTTAATGGGTAGAAAAAGCAGTGGTGATAAGCAGTAGTAGACATTTGTGCAGACTGATCAAGGAAACTGGGGCAAAACGTTCAATGGTTGGTATAACTGGGGCGGACAAGGATTAGTCTGATTCACTCGCGGAGGAAATGACTGTTATGATGGG